ACTCATATACCCAAACTCACCCAACTCAAACAGTTTGGGTTTGGGTCATGTGTAATTCTATATTTGCTTAAGCTTCGCGCTCTTCATAGTTATCTTACTTAAGTATAGCTCGACTTTTATCTGCAACATCTTGTTTAACGAAAATAAGTTGTGGTGTTTTTCGATAAGTTTCTTCATGCCATCGTCCATAGAGTCCATAACGTATATCATATGGAAATAATTTAATTAATGCCCATAATTCAATAGATAAACAACCATTTACATCAAGTAATGAAAGACTTGGAAAAAGAACTTCATCAATTAATAAAAGTATATCTTCTTGTTGTTCATCTGCATTGATTGATTTTTTTATTAAATTTGTACATAAACGTGTTAATTTCATAAATAAAAGACGATCTTGACAATAAGCACCAAGATGTAATAATAAAGGAAAAATATTTTCACGAAATTCATTCCATGTATTTATTAATTTTAATTCACGTGAACAAACTACTGAATTCAATGGATTATGTAACTCATATTGAAGGAAACAAGCATGAAGATCCGAATTACTTAAATGAGAAGAGAAAATAAATAAAAAATAAAAATAAATATTTTTATTTATTTACTTTTTATAAAGTGGATCAATAATATAAGCAATAAGTTTTGTTAAGAGTGTATTTATTTCTCGATATGATGTACATGACCATCGTGGTAGATTATCAAATAAAAATAAAGCATGTTCTAAATCACCGATGCTCAATAATGCTTGGATGAAATGTAATAATTGATTATTGCTTTTCTAGAAAAAGAAAACAAAGAAATTTATTATATGGAAATTACAAAGCCATGCTGTAGAATTATAGAATTTTCGAAAAGGCTATTTGTAGTACTATTAATTTGTGAATGGCCGGTTTGTTTGGCTTCCGTTAATATGATCACTTAAACTCTCGGGATGTTAAAATCAATCATCAGTTCTCACCAATGTATTTGAATCTTTTGATTTGTTATTTGCATCAGTTGATGTTGAACTTTTTTTTGGTCCTCGTGCACTTTCAAGTTCTTTTGTATAATTATCCGAAAAATCTGTTATTAATGGATATAACTAAAATAAAACAAAAATTAAAAAACAATAGAAAATTTCAATATCTAAAATTTACATGTGGTAATAAATCTTCGAGTTCAATGAGTTTATTTGAAACAAGTTGAGCAGCTAAGAAATATAATGAACTAGCTGTATCGTCTTGAAGCTAAAAATACAAAGAATAAATTTGATTTTTAAGAAGAAAAAAAGGATATTTTTACTTGATATTGCTGAAATTTAAATCCAATTAATTGACATAATGTTAATCGATCAAAATGAAGTAAATGTAATAAACCCACATAGATTTTTGTATATTCGAGATGACATTCAAATGATTCAATAACTAAATCAAGTACACGATTTGGATCTATATCAAAATATCCAATTAATGCCATTAAACGATCATATAATTGTTGTGAATTTAATTTTGTTATTGAAAAATTTTGATTTAATTCAGTTATAGTTTTAGCAAAACCTTCACTTTCTTCACGTAATAAATTAAATTTTTGTTGTTTATAACTAATGGAAAAAAACAAAAGATAACCTTGAAAAAATATTTCCTACATTAGCAAAAAGTAAACATACTAAAGACGTGTTTTTATTCGAACATATTTTTGATTGAATTGATCACGACTAATAATTAAATCAAGATATTCTAATGTATCAATTTCAAGACGTTCCATCAACAATGTTGTTGAAACAATATGCTAAAAGAAAAATAATTTTTTTTATTTTATTTTATCAAACACACATTTAAAACTTCTATTAAATCTTGATCGTATTGTATAGAGAGTATTTTTCTAAAGTAATTGTTTGGTACTATTTAGAAATATCGTTATGACCAGTTTAAACTGGTGTATGTAAATAGATGGACGTCTTTTTTTGTGACAAAGTTCGATTGTTCATTCCCGGGTGAAGAGTTATAGTAATATCTGTGAGATGCACTGATAATTCTCACATTGATAGGCTGTTACCATTCAATAGCTCTCATTTGATCAATCTAATAAATTGCGTAGATACTAGTTGATCCATTCTACTCTTAATATATGATATGAATAATGATTGCATTAAATAATTTTTACGATTATTGAAAAGCGATATTAAATACAGTGTGGGTCTCTCTTTTGGAAGTTACATTGAAACTGTAATAACAATAATTGTTAAGTATAGTATGGAGACAATACACACAACAGAATGGCCACATAGCGCAGGGCACAAATGTAGATATTCTTGTTTTTGAGTGAACATAAAAAGTAGAATTATTTAAGCAGGAAGAGATGCAAGTCCTGATAATTTCTAAGACCCATTTTTCTGACTTTGATAAATATCGCTTAATAGACTATACGCCATAACCTATTTGATTTTTTTACTAAATTTAAAAGAGAATATCTTTAATTTTATATGAAAGAAAACTCTTTTAATTACCTATTCGAAAAACCTTCTTCGCAATTTTAAAATAGAATATATTCTGTATTGTGCAATGCAAAATGTCCTTAAATGGATACCAAGATTAATATCTTGTTACAAACTCAAGTATATGAATTAGAGATCTAAAGTAATGTGCATTATAAACAGATTTTGTTGATGAAAATAATGCAGGGCTAAGAGATAATGTTGGAAAAATCCTATTTCAATTCTTACTTCCGATTTGTTAATAAGTTGAAAAAATCGTTGTTTATAAGTTTCTTTTGTTGTTGTATCATCATTTGGAAATAATTCTACATCTAAATTTTGATAAAATAAAAGAAATTTTTTTCTTCTACTTTTAACCGAAAAAAAAAAACAAGACAAACCAAGAGTTGCTAAAATGTCAGCTAGAAGATCTCCGATCATTTCTGGAGTAGTGACAGTCTCCTAAAGAAAAAGAAAAATTCTAAAAAATATTTTTACAACGAAATAATTTACTTGAAGTTCAGTAAATATTGGAATAATTGTTTCGACTAATTGACTACCTTGTAAACATGATTTACATAAAGAAAGAAGCAATTGTTTCAATGCTATAAAAAAGAATTTTCTCGGTCATAATAAAATATAAAATAAAATAGAATTACCAAGTTCTGCTTCATATTTATTTTTATTATCTTCAAGTAATTGTTTATACAGTTCATTACTATTTAAAAGAAAATAAATAAATAAATAAATAAATAATAAAATTTTTTTATACAATTGATTTCGTCCACCAGATGACCAATTTGTGATAACTGTATTAATTGTATTTGATATATCGATTGATCGATTTTCTTGCATTTCAACCATAATCCGATCAACTGACTGAGAAGAATAATAGACTGAGTTAATAAGCAAAGAAAAGAAAATTTTTCCTACCCTTCTTGCGTATGTTACAATTTAGTTTAGCCATTAGACAATTTTCTAATCCTTTCTATTCATGATAGATGTCGTCAATAATTGGTTTCACTTTATAAAAAGAAGAAAAACAATAAACTATATAGAAAATCATCTATGATTTTTATAAAGTACAAAACACAATTAATTTCACTAAGAATTATTATTGAGTACAAGCAGATTTCTCTCCTTCCACTATCATCTTTGATTCATTATTTATGTAGTACTATACTGATTTTTCCGTTCGGCAGATGCCAGGATTGATTATTTAGGATCCGTATACATAGATAATATATATACATATCTATCAGATTCCGTGTTTATAATGAAAGTTATTAGTCGTTCTATCGGAAAAAGAAAAAAAAAATAGCGACGGGATGTCAAGAATTTATCCATTATTTTGTTGTAATTTCTCAGCAACTCAATACACATACAACTAATGGTAAGATATATAGAGATATATACGTACATATGTTGCTGATTTAATTAAGTTAACAAATATATGTAGTCTAGAGTTTTTTTTTATACAATTGATTTATCTCATTGATAAAACAGTTGGATAGACGGTGCTTTGTTGTGTTTTTTTATTGAAAATGATTTCGCTACCCTCATCATTGCTGATAATACATCATATATAAGAACAATTAAAACTCAAATTTTTGTAAGAAAAGAAGAACATTATAATGAATGAAAATAGCAAAGCTTAAAAGACAGTTTCGTTGGAATATACTGTCGCAGGTGATGATGGTGGTGCTGGTGGTGGTACCGGTACAGAAGCACGTACAGGTGATATTTTTATTTTATTAGGATTTTTAATTGGAGAACTTGGTGACTTTTGATGTCCATTACGATTCACATAACGATTAAAAACTTTTTGATACTGAGTATTAGAATTGTTCGTAGCAGTATTATTATTGGGTGGAGCATTTTGATGTTTAAGTGGGCCAGTTGTTGTAAAATTAGGACCAGATCGTGGTTGTGGTGGTGATACTTGTGGTTGCTGTGGTAATGATGTTGATTGTTGTTGTGATTGTTGTGATTGTTGATGTTGATGTTGGTGTTGATGTTGATGCGATTGCGAATTTGATTGTGGTGGTTGTGATTGTGGCGGTGGCGGTGGCTGTTGTGAGGGTTGCGCTTGTGGTGGAGGAGGAGGTGGTGGTGGTGGGGGTTGTGAAGGTGGTGGCGGTGGTGCGGGCTGTTGCTGTTGTTGTTGTGTCTGTTCAATAATTGTAGTATGAAGCACCGAATTGTATGGTAGATAAGAATCAATAGAATTTGAAAAACAGCAATCTACAAGTGTACGTTGTTCGTTACTAAGTATTTTGGGAAAAAGAATATCAAATTTAACAATAAGATCTCCACGTCTAGATGGATCTTTTGGATAAGGTAAGCCTTCATTAAGAAAACGTTTTTCTGTTTGTGGTGTTACGATTTCTTGATGAGAACGTAATTGATATGGTGGTTTATTTGTATCAAGAAATGGAATAACAATTAATGTGCCAAGTAATGCTTGTTTTATATTGAGTTTAACTCGATAAATTAAATCAGAATTAGAACGTTCAAATATTGGATGGGGTTTATCACGAATAATAAATACAATATCACCTGCTATAGTGTTTTCATCACCTTCATCACCTTCACCTTCAAATGTAATTTTCGTTCCTCAAAACAAAAGAAATTAATCATACACAAATTAGCTTTTTTTTTCTTTTTCTCTATACCTTCTTTCCAGCCAGGTTTTATTTGAATTTCAAGTAATTTTTCATCACGTACAGTTGTATTATGTTCAGCATTGAATCGTTTACGTGTTATTTTCATTTTTCTTGTTGCACCTTTATTTACTTCTTCTAATGTAACATATAAATCATAGAAAGTTGTGGGATCTTTATATCGTACAAAATAATTATTATATGGATCATATGTATAATCACTATTTGGATCAGTAGCTCCATAATCGGGATAATGATTACCGGACGAACGAAAATGAGTACGAGGATCTGTACCTAGATAGTTTCGTAATTCTTCAGAGCCAAAACGATCATATAGAGAGCGCTTATACGGATCTGATAAGATTTCATATGCTTCACTGATATCCATAAACTTTTTCTCAGCATCCACATCACCACGATTTTTGTCTGGATGGTGTTTAAGTGCTTTTTGTTTATAAGCACGTTTAATTTCATCATCACTTGCCAATTGATTAACACCTAATATGGCATAATAATCTTTGCTACCCATTTTTCTTCTTGATCAAAACTATAACCAGAATAAAGAAACGTTTTTGATTATGCAGGTCGACCTTTCTTTACTCAATCCTTGCTCTTCCAAACATCCTTGTACGTCTAATTTTAATAATATTCGTCCGTAACGCTTGTTTTCACGGTAAATGCACGATACATCCCTTTGCGGGATATTTTGCATACAAATGATGAAGAATAAGAGAGAGAGAGAGAGAAAAAAAGAACACGATGCACTATTTTACTATTATCATTCGTTTCTAACTCACTGCGTCTAGGCGATGTTGTTCAACAACATTAGAATGCGAGAGAAAAGAGACGTTAAAAAAAAAAGTAGATACGACGCGTGTCAATCTGTATGTGTGTACATATGTGATATATTGCGTACGGCGTTAATCTGTTTTGCGTTCCGCTTTAAAGCGTTCAGATGTCTACGCGATTATTCATTGAACTTTTCTTCATACAAAAATAGACAAAACGAAAATTATCAAAAGAAACAAATAAAAAATTTATTAATTTTCAATTGTATAAGATACTGTTTTTTTTTTTCATTCTTACGTTTTACTTTCTTTCTTTCTATTTAGGTAGATTTCATAGAACGATATCGATTTATATTGGTCGTTTTTATTCTCTACATATATCAACATGTACAAAGCGAATCAAGAACAAAAAATCAAGCTGATAAGCAATTAGAAAAATTAGGAGAACAAAATGAAAAACAATATGAGAAAGAAATATTACAAGGTAAATTTATATAATTATTGAATAACAAAAACAAATGATTTTTTCACCTTATTTAGTTTATTCATTATCAAAAGCAAATAACTTTTTATCTTATAATAAATGTATGCAAAGAATGAAATGTCCAGTCACTCGTAAGGAAGAGTGTAGTGAAGAATGTCATGCAGGTAGACAGACATATATACTCGATATTTTTTTTCAAATTAGTTTTCCTTTATTTATTATGTGTTAATTATAGGTAATACTGAAGAAGAAATTGAAGAACATAAAGAAATAATAATCGGCGAACATCGAAATTCATTTCGGAAAAAACCTAAACCAAAATTTGATGATGAAGAATTAAAAAATTTAACAATAAAAAATGATTTCTAAACTTTTTTGATTCATGTTCGTTTATTTTTTTTCACTTAGTTTTATAATAATAGAAAGAAAATTAGATGTAATCATTAATTTATCATTTACTCTCTAATTGTATATAGACAAGCAACGTTGTTATAATAATACATCATATTTCAATGTCGAAATCTTGTATTTTGTCTACTAGATGTCCATGACTAGAAAACATCATATATTATGATTGAATTCGATGATAATTAGAGGAAAATTCAATAATTGATATAATCGATGTCCTTGTTTATTTATCGTTCATGTCATACTTGATAATATAGAAAATATTTGATATTTTGATAAAGAAAAATAATTAATAAAAAAAGTTGTTATAAGCGAGCTCATTGATTTTATCTAATATATGTTAACGTTTTGTATACAGCTGATATACATATTCTTCGTATCTACAAAGGTGTATATACATTATTGCATATATAGATGAGAATATGATTAATCATAAAAAGTACCGAACATCCTTCATATATTTTTTTCTTTTTCTATTATATTGTAAATATGAAAATGTAATATGATATATACCTATATTACTGGTAAACATCATTTCAAATTGCAAAAAAAAAGAGAATTCTAATAAAAATTTAATAAACTATTATCAGTGGTGGCGCGAAGAGCTAAAAGCAGGAGGGGGGTAATCACAAAAAAGGAGAAAGAAAAAAAAAATTTTCTCAGTTTCAGTTTTCATGGATTTTAGAAAAAAATTTTAAAATTTTTGTAAAATTTTCCGCCTTAACTACCCAAAAACCAAAACTGATGGCCAAAAACAAAACAGGTCTTTGGTTTAGGTTTTACGGGATTCTGCAGACCTAACCCCAGTTTTCAAATCCAAAAAGGCAAAAAAGGAGAAAATAAATAGGTCCCAAACCAGAAAGTCAACTCAAAAATCGGAGAAAGCCAATCCAAAAACCGGAGAAAATTCAGTCTTTTTTTCCAAAAGCAGGAGGGGGTACCCCCTGACTCTCCCCCGCCCCCCAAATATTAGGTCCCCTTTGAGCAAAAATCTGGGAAAATCTCCCTACCCCTAGGGCGTTTTTTTCACAAACAAAATTGCAAGTTCTCGAACCACAATAGAAGAGCCCGGGTCTTTTATTACGAAGGAGGGTTTACTAATTTTCGAAGAATATTCCTATAATTAAAGAATCCTATTTATATCAATTTTCTACATGATCTTAATTCTCTCGTTCTATGCGATAGATGTCCATAGTATACATCTCAGAAATTTATACTGTTAAAAATATTTTCAACTTAATATTTAAAATAATGAGAAAAAAAAATATTTTTATATTAATTCTAAATTATATTTTCTTTATATTTAATTCGATGAATTCATAAGCTGACTGAACGAATGCATTAACCAATTGAGAGTCGTATGAACACAAATGACTATTGTTTATTTATTTATTTTAATTCATCTTTTTAAGCTATCTATCTTCTAAAATCATTAATTTTTCTAGAAAACTTATTCATTTTTTTACTATTTTCATATCGAACGATAGATAATCTATCCATGTAGTAATTCGATGAACTCATAGTATAATTATGCTAAGTGATTACACCTTTCTTTCCGATCATTCGTATTCTCTACGACCTGTTGCTGATGATAATGATGATTTGCCATTGAATCAACGTGAAGGAAAAACTAAGAAACGTTCTAGATCATCAAATCGCATTAGTATGAATAGATTTTCTTACTTTGTTTTGCATTTTTGTTTCATAACTTTATTAGATAAAACAACATTAACTTCAAATCGTACTGTATCAATTGATCGTAGTTCAAGTGATAAAGAGAATAATTCATTAATTTCATTGCGTCTAAATCGTGTATCATTATCATCGACAATTCCTGCAATAAATACAACTAAATTATCCAAAGATATACGATTACAAAAAAAAACAAGTTCTCGTTTATCTGTACAAACAACTATGACTAATTCACGTACACAATCAGGAAATAAACAAGATAATAAAACTCGAGCAAAAGTATGTACTAATTGATTTGTGAAAAGAAAGAATCTATGAAATAAATTTAGACTGGTATCAAATCAACACAAAGTAGTATTGCTAAGAAGAAAAAAGTGAATAATCGTGGCAAAACAAAATCAATTAATATTTCTCAAAACAATTCTATTGATATTTTACCATCATTATCTATTGAAGAACGTGTAAAATTACGTCGAACAAAACCACTTCAATTATCAACAAGTAGTGGTGTTGAAACCAAACCTGTCAAAATAAGTAAATCTCAATCGACAAAAATTCGTCCTATTCAACAAGATCGTGAATCAATAACGAATAATTCATCATCGAAAAAACCAACTAAAATAACGAAATCAAGAAAAAATTCTCCAGTTGTATCGACAATTAAAACGACGAAATTATTTCTTGGTTCAGGTCTTGATCTTGACAATATTGTTCCCGGCAATCGACAACGACGTAGTGTACAGACATAAACATTTTATTGTAAAGTTTGTGCCATAGATTTCTCATATATATTGAACATTCGATTATATTTTGACTATTTCATTCGTTTTTTTTTTTTGTTTTTCTTGGTTCAGCATCGTTCATTTTTGCTTTACAAAAAAAAGAAGACTTCCGTTTTTGTTTTTTTCTCTTCATTTTCTTTTAGTTCTGTTAAATTGTATATATAGAGAGATTTTTTTGCGTCTCTTCTGTGCCTTTTTTGTGTATACTGTTAGGGTTTTGTTTTGTTTCGTTTCGTTCTATTCGTATTAGCATAGTTCTTGTAGAACTACCGAACTTGGCTTTGATGAACAGAGAGAAAGTGGCACAATATACATGTATATATATATATACATAACTACGACACTTTTTATTGTTTCTTTAAAGA